GTCTGATCCGCTCTTGCCTCTGCCTTGCCCCGTTCTCCCATCAGTCCTCCGCCACATCCTTGTCTCTCTTGTCCAAGTTCCCTATGTGGCCCCTGTGCGTCACCGACGATAATGGATCTAATGGCAAGCGCACGAGGACGATGGCATGCTGCAGCTCAGTTCGAGGAGATAAAGCAGCTGGTTGGCCACAATGTTGTTCCCCTTGGCCGACACATAGGACTCGCAGACTTCTGGAGCAGCAACCTCGACATTGACATCAATATCAGTCTGTGACCTGCCATCCGGATCAGACCTTAGCACGAGATCAAAACTACCGGATGCCTCATGCTACTGGGACATTGAAGTTGAAGCCCCATTGACGATGTCCTGAGATGACTGAAGACTGTTCCCTCCTCGATACTTTTGCGACTCTTCTCAAGACCTGTTCCCAAGACTTTCGCATAATCACTACTCAAAAATTTTGCAACCATACCCCGTCAAAAACCCGTAGTTCATCGATAGGACCACCCTGTTCCCCACACTTCCGAAACCCTAGTTCATCAACAGGATTACCCCGTTCCCCATTGTCCCTAAACCTTTAGCTCACTAATAGGACTACCATGTTCCCCGCAGTTCCAAAACCCTTAGCTCATCAGTAGGATTGCCCTGTTCCCCGTTGTCCCTAAACCCTTATCAGTAGAACTACCATGTTCCCTTAGCTCATCGATAGATCAACCCTGTTCCCAGCTCACAATTACAAGCCCTGTTCCCTAATCACACAATCAGCCCCGTCCTGTCCTCCACAATTTTCAATATTGTTTCAAGACTTTTGGAAGCCGAGACGTTGCCTTCTAGAGGGAGGGGATAGTGTTACAGACTCAGCCAGGGCTCGATCCCTGGTCCGCGAGTTACCACCCGCCAGGCTGCTGTTTTGTTCTGAGTTCCTGATTTCCGGTTCTGGACTGCTGGTGCCCTCTGCAATTGGCGCCCATTCTCAAATTCCTCCATGGGCATTATTGGATTTCAATACTTGGCGCCATTCGGCCGAGGCACTACTCCTGCAGGCGGCGCCATTCGGCATTCAGGGCCGAGGTCCTTCCTCACTAGGCAATACCTGCGTTCCTCAGTTCAGTCCTGAGGCAGGCCGCACCTCGGCCCTCCGGACTGAGCCTAAGTCCGGTACTTAAGTCCGGACTCAAGCCCCATTGGGGCATTCAGTCTTCGGCCTCAGTGCTTGTGCTTCAGTGTGACTTGTCGCGACTTTGTGTTCGGAATCCAAGATTGCGACTTTGCGATTTTGAGACTTTGTCACTTCGTGTCTGCGTCCGTCGTGTCGAGTCGAGTCTGTGTCCAAGTCGAGTGTGTGTGTGTGTGTGCACTCCCTCTCTCCCTCTCTCTCTCTCTCTCTCTCTCTCTCTCTCTCTCTCTCTCTCTCTCTCTCTCCCTCGACCTCTCTGCTCTGCCTCGGTCTCATCACAGCGCACCACACAAAAATTCCCAAACCACATACGTCTATGGCAGAGGTTGCTGGCCAGTGCCTAGATAGTTGTCCAGAGACTGCTTGTGTTAGAGTCTCTCTAGGCACTTCCCTCACAGGTGTGGCAGAAGAGTTGAAGGAGAGGATGCCTGTCTGGGCCAAAATGAAGAAGGATGCGAAAGGACAATTAATTTTAGTAGATGTAGAGGTCTTTAGAGGTAGAATAGGGGCCCTTATAGACAATGGGGCCACCCGCAGCTATATTAGTAAGAAAGCACTGCAGAAGCTGAAGTTAAATTTGAAAGACCAGAAGTTAGAAGACCCTATAGTAAGTATCCTCGCAGACAATCGCACTATGCGAGTCGCGGATTACGTAGAGGGAGTCCAGGCGTATTTTCGCCTAGAGAAGGATGGGAACGTGGAGAAAGTTTTCCATTCCTTGACTCTCCTCGTAGAGGACAACCTTCCTTTCGACATGGTCCTAGGAATGGACTGGGGAGAGGCAGCAGGGGCCACACTCCAGTTGAGAGAGCATGAGTGTAGGCTCCCTAGTCCATCAGGTGATCTCAAGACTGCTCGCCTGTTCCAGGAGTAGACAACTCCCTAGCACATTGCTGTCTCAGTGCTCCCGCGTTTGCACGATTAGTGAGGAAGGACCAATTAGAAGAGCAGGTTTTTGGAGCCTATGTTAGGCCTGTTACTGAGCCTAAGGAAGAGAAGCGTATGGAGTCAATCATTGCCAAGCTGCTGGAGGAGTATACAGATTTAGCTCAGCCGCCTGCAGGAGTAGTGCCTCGGCCGATACAACATCGCATTGAGATAGAGCTTGGTAGTAGAACTCCGAAGGGGGCCGTGTACAAAATGTCCCCGAAAGAGTTAAGAGGAACTAAGTAAAAATGAGCTCCTAGAGAAGGGTTGGATTAGGCCCAGTTTGTCTCCGTTTGGAGTGCCTGTTCTTTTTGTTCCCAAGAAGGAAGGAGAGCTTTGCATGTGTATAGACTATAGGGGTCTCAATGCCGTTACCGTGAAGAATGTTGAACCACAGCCGCACATAGATGATTTGTAGATCGGGTGCAGGGTTGTAAGTACTTCTCAAAGATAGATTTAAAGTCTGGTTATTATCAGATAGAGGTACATCCTGATGACCAGTACAAGACGACATTCCCGACTAGGTATGGGCATTATGAGTTTATAGTTATGCCTTCTGGACTAACCAACGCGCCATCAACATTCCAGCGTTGTATGAATGATTTGTTTAGACCTTGGTTAGATAGGTTTGTAGTCGTATACTTAGACTATATCTTAGTTTTTAGTAAGACCCTCCAGGAGCGTGAAGGCCATCAGAGGCAGGTCTTGGAGAAGTTGAGAGAAGCTAACTTCAAGATCAATGCAAAGAAACGTGAGTGGGCCAAGACAAGTTTTGTACTTGGACCACGTCTTAGATGGAGATGGCATAAAGCCTGAGGACAATAAAATAGCAGCGATCAGAGATTGGCCAACGCCTCACACGTTGACAAAATTGCGGTTGTTTCTAGGCCTAGCCAACTATTATAGAAAGTTCGTGAGGAACTTCTCCACTATTGTTGCACCCCTTCGCAGGTTGTTAAAGAAAGAAGCAATCTGGGAATGGGATAAAGACTGTACTTCGGCCCTAAAGAACCTTGATAGAGTATCCAGTCCTCAACGTAGTCGATCCATCTTTGCCTTTTGTCGTCAACACTGACGCAAGTCAGTATGGGATAGGTGTTGTGTTACAGCAAGATGATGGCAGAGTTCATGTCTGCTAGGATGCCTTCAGAGAAGGTTGCGACATCTACCTACGAGAGGGAACTCTACGCTCTCAGGCAAGCTTTTTAGACCATTGGAAGCATTACTTGGTTGGGAGGCACTTCAAAGTCTATTAAGACCACTAGACGTTGCGGTCGCTAAAGACGCAGGCCAAGATGACACCTAATCTTACAAGGTGGGCCGAAGAGATAGATCAATTCGACTTTGAGCTCAAGCCAGTTAAAGGAAAGTATAATGTAGTTGCGGATGCTTTAAGTAGGAGGGCCGATTACTTTGGGGCGATGGTTCACTATCTAGATATAGGACGAGACCTGCAACAGAAAGTTAAAGAAGCTTATGCGCATAATCCTATTTATAGTGATCTCCTCAAGAGAGTTATGGTGTGACGCCCAACCTCACGCCCAACGCGACTTCCTCATCGGAGTGGGATGGGGGCCCGGAAGTGCGAAAAAGGGTGTGCCAAGGATTTTAGGAAAGTAGGGGTGGAGTCCCATGTCGGAACTGAGATCTTTTGTGGCAAGTTTTGGGGGTATAAGCGCGAGAGGGTGTGTGCAGGTTGTATTTGGCGCTTTTAATTTTCGTAAGACGGAGGGTAGACCACCTCTCGGGGCTTGTGCACAAAAGGGAAGCCGCGGATGTCGTGCAGCATAAGGCAAATGACATGCACGATGCATCTCAGACTAAAGATCCCTGGGTACTTTTCCATAATCACAGCACCGACAGATCTAAACACTCTTGCATTCTTGAACAACATCCCAACAACATTGCCCCTGCCAACGAACTCAATTGTCGAGCTTGAAAGATGGGAATCACCATCTTCTCTGGTTTCGCCTTCGGGGCTGGTCGCGCGGTTCGATCAGTTGTCAGCGCCGCTCGATCTCGGTTCCGGCTCACCGAGCGATTTCCGAGGCTCGATAGGCCTGGTGCCGCCGACACTTGTTGCACGGTGTGCGAGGCCAATAACGGGCTATGGAATTCCACGGCGCCACCGTGAGTTGGTGATATGGAAGGAGGAGGTGAAAGGGAGGGAAACTGGTGGTAATAACGACGAAGCCGTTGGATATGAAATATTGCGTGTTATGAGTATCTGGGTAGTCGGGGCCCCTAGGATCGTTAGTTATGGCACAGTGAAAGTCCCTTGCGCACAATCGATTGTTTTCTTTCAGACAGGGGAATTCCGGATTCCTTAAGTTCCCCCGCCGTCTGAGTTGTTCACCCTCCCAGTATTCGCGGTATTCCGGATCCCTCAGGCTCGCACGATCGGATATCCAAGAGGGAAATTCCGCAGCCATATTCGTTTAACAAGCTCGGTCCCCTGCATCCTTGTATGTGGTCCAAGGCTGACTCACGCAGACGAGCGCGTACGCGGCGACTCGGTTTCCTCGAGATCGCGGTCGTACGCGAGCGTGCAGGTGAGAAACAACGAATTGGTTCAGTGGGCCGATCGCGTTCAACATGTATGCAAATATCCTATCCCTGCTACGTCGGGTGAGATCCGATCGTTACATATCATACACGTGACAAAAAAGGGGGCGGGGGGGAAAGGAGGGGACAGGACAATCAACTTCTCACGACACTCTTAGTGATCGAAAGTTAACGACTAAACCAAAACATCCATAATCGAGCGTTTTCAATCGCAAGCGAACAGTAGACGGACATCGCAAAGCAAGATTGGAAATCCGAAAAGATCGCTAATAAAAGGGGATTCACATTCATTCCATGCATGCATACGAAGTAAAAATGACAAGGAAAATCCGAGACGATTTACACGAGAAGTCCAAAAAAGGGCCGCGATAAAATCGACCATATTCGGATCCAAAATTATACAGATGAACAAAGGAAAGACAGGGACAATGGAAAGAACCTCATCCCACACCCACACAACTGCTCTCTCTCTCTCTCTCTACCTCTCTCTCTCTCTCCAGATGCGGGCAGTCCGTCGCCTCGCATCAACACAGAGTTGTCACCCCGCTTGGTTCAAGCATGCAAGCCAGGTTCGCCCGTGCGCCACAGTCCATCACGGCCCTGCACGTCAACCCCGCATACCCGACACCAGCTCGTCGGATCGCCCAACTCTCGCACTCACTCACCTTCCAAACTCGCTTGTTAGTCGACCCTCACTGATCGTGCTAACCTCGAAATTCTTAGAGAGACAACTAATCGCGCTTGCAGAATTTATAACATGCATGCCTGCACAAAAGGTACGGGATTAAGCCCAGATGGACAAGAGGAGAACAGAGGAAGTGCCTACGACTGCATGGCCAGGCCGCGGCGTGGGGGTCATAGCCACACTCCACGCATCGATCCGGTCATGCAGCCGATCGACCAATTAGAACAGAGTATGCGAGGCGAGGAAGAAGAAGGCAGGCAAACACGAGGAAACCAAGAAAGAAGAAAGATACAGGTACACTCGCGCCCGCCAAAAACGACAGTTGCACAAGATTAAGGGCGCGATCCAGTCAGAGCCTAGTTCCCAGCGCAGCAAGATGCGCGCAAGCGCGGCGCAACAAAATTCAGCGTTCCTAAATTCCTAGCCTAAGTCCTAATTGCAAAAAGAAATTCCAAAAAAGAGAAAAACAATTTGACGAGCCCATGGGGGCTCGACATCAGTTGAAAATTCAAAAACAATATTCCCGCGCGATGATCGCACCAAAAATCCCCAGTGCTCACAGCAAAACAAGAAGCTATTGTATCTGGCACTCGCCATGGCGCGGCTACCCAACCGTTGGCATGGGATTTTCCCGGCACCAATCCGACAACTCCCAACTGAAAACGAAAAGAAACGAGGACGTCCATGCAATTTGCCGCCCGACCCATCTTCCCGTAACTCACCCATCTGACCCGTCTCATTTCCCTAGGCAGCCTCGCGCAGAAAGTCGCGCGATTATAGAAAGTGGTTCGTCACAATGGAGTCTCCAAAGTTTGAGCCAGACTACCGCACTACAAACGGGTTACTATTCGAGAAGACTAACGTAGATGACCGCTTGTGCGTTCCCAATAGTGAAGATATCCATAGCTTGATTTTAGGGGAATGCCATGATACAGAGGGACACTTCAGTTGGCAAAAGACATTGGCTAAACTTGTTCGCGCATATACGTGGCTTGGCATGAAGGCCGACTGCATAGAGTATGTACGCAGTTGTACGGTATGCCAATGTCACACAGGACCCGGAGATTCTGTGTCCATTGACTTTATGGATGTCGGGGTCAAGAGTAGGCATGGCACGAGCCAAGTCATGATTATAGTTGATAGATTTAGTAAATACAAGTGGACCCGCCGCGGCGTCGGCCGGGGCACAGAAGGGGACGAGAGGCGAAAGGGAAAAGAAGCAGGCATCAAGCATCGGAGGGTGAAAAATGATTTTTTGTTTCACATATGATGCAATCATGACAACTTTGCATATCCTTCCCATGTCTCTCTCTCTCTCTCTCTCTCTCTCTCTCTCTCTCTCTCTCTCTCTCTCTCTCTCTCTCTCTCTCTCTCTCTCT